ACTTGTGTTCATGGAAATGTATATATCAGCTGTGTTTGCTACGAAAATATTTAGATTAATTAAGATCTTTAGTAATTCAATAAAAATGGGGGGAAACAGTATAGAAAGTAAACATAGATACCAGAGACAGTGTGGGAGGAGAGTGGGAGATGGCTGAGGGTAAGAGATAGGGAATCAAGGATGGAAGGAAGGGGGGGGGAGCAAAACATACAAGAAACAAGAAATGGAAAATTATTTGTTGACAATAACATGTATGTTGATATGCTTGATTGAGACAATATACAGTGTACTCTGGATGGAAAATCTCATTTCATATGCTGTAATGATGTACAGTGAATAAACGTAAACAAATAAATTTAAATTAAAATAAAGAAAATTTAAAAAAAAAAAGAGATGGTACTGGGAAAGTTCTCAGATTAGGTTACATGTAAGCACTTACTTGAATGAAATGAGAGAAGGAACAATACAGACATCTGAGAAAATAACGCTCCAGGTGCAACAGCTATACAAAAGCATTGGGACTCAGTGCATTAAAAGCTAAAAAAGAGGAAAATGCCTATAATGCATAATACAAAAAAGGTGTAGCCAACTCTTGGAAATTGACTTGTATAGGCCATTCTATTGTTTAAAAAAATTGAGAAAATGTTAAAACAATTTTATAATAAATTCTATTAATTTCTAATATGTGCACATATTTTACAACACTGGTAAAAATGTTACTCCACAGTAATCAAAACAATTTTTATGTATGTTTGTGCGGCCCACCTTGTTTTTCATATCTTTAAGTGAGGTAAATATGTTTTAATAAAATATGTATAGTAATTTTTCAATCTGTCAATTAGAAGATAATAAAATATTCTAATTTCTGTTTTCTAATAGCAATAGATCAATACATCTCTTTTAATCTTTATGTCACTGTCTTAGTCCACTATTGTGTTGCTAACAGAAATACCTGAAACTGGGTGATTTATACAGAATAAAGGCTTATTTGACTTATAATTCTGGTGGCCAAAAAGTGCAAAGGTGTAGGGGATGGCATTAGGCTGGCCTCACCACATGACTGATAGAACAGAGAGGATAACAGATATGTGCAGAGAGAAAGAATTGGGGACAGCCATCATCCTTTTACAACAAACCATATGTGTGACTAGTGTGCTGGGCATTTGCTTTTCAACAATTTGAGTAGCTGACATGTAAATATTTTCTCCAAAATATTTAAAACCATACTGTTTCTGTTGTTATAGAGTCACAAAATCATACAAAATTATAAGAAATATTTTGAACATTATCTTTAAAATGAAGTATTTTGAAATTTTGAAAGTTGTTTATAAACTGTCAAGAACTATGGAGCATGAGCTAAAATTTTTTGATATGTAATTATGGAAAAATGTAAAAATAAATAAATAAATGATAAAATAATATTCAAGAAAAAATTAATATAAATAAATAAATAAGAAGTAATCCTTTTCCATGAGAGCAAGCTAAAGCTCATTTAGTCTCTTCAAACAATATAGATACATTCATGAGAGTGATGCCTCTAAGATCCAATTACCATTTATTAGGCCTCAACTCTTAAAGGTCTTGCTTGGTATCTCCAAAAGCCATTACACTGGGGACTGAATACCAAAACATGAACCTTTGGAAGACAAAGCATTTTCCAAACCAAAGCAGTCACTACGCTTCCTGAAACAATGCCTTCAATTTAAGAGCAATTGTAATTTAAAATAATTTTAATTCAAACTCTTAATCTTCCTCTTGGTTGTAAACATTAAATTAAAATCTCAGGGCTGGCAAGGGTCAACCAGTTGGTATGGCAGCTAAGGCAGTTAGATCTCACCTGGCCAATGGCATGGTTCAAGTCTCAGAACAGTGGTTTGAAAAACATGCTGGACACATGTGTGTCCATGCCCAAAATCCCAAAAGGGGAAAGAAATGAAGAAGGGATTGAGGCATGATTGTCTTCCATAGGGGTTGCTTTCTCACTTTCCCTTTTCCTCTCTCTGTTTTTCTCTGGTGAACACACATAGCCTCTAGCAAATTAAAAAAAAAAAAAGTCTTAGGACTGGGTATAAAAAAGAAATGATTATATGTTAAAATGCAGCCTACTCTAAACACAACAGGCTTGTATGTACTTGAGAAAAAGGAGAGTTGAACTGAAGCTAAAGAAACAGTGACCATGCACACTATTTTCACTATAATTAATGCTTATAATGAAGAAAACACACAGAGCTATCAATAGATTAGCAGTTGGAACTTTTGGAGTTTGCTTTCTTGGGATAGAAATTTATAGAGCCTCAAGCTGCTTTGTAGCTTAGTGATTAAGGGTGCTGGATCCCACATGGCTGACCATGGTTCAAATCCCGGCCCTAGCAGCTTGAAAAGGGTGAGTATGCATTCATGAAAAACAACTTATCTATAGGATGTTAAGAGGCCATCCATTTGGCAAAACAGTCAATTCTGGAGTCAAGTTTATAATCCATGGATTCAGAGTCCAAGACTCTTACATCGTCACAGTAAAATGTGCAATATTAAAAGTAAATTCTCACCTTTTGGAGAGTGTTTCCATATAATATGTCGAAAATTCTCATAAATTACATTCATCCAACTAAGTAGAATCCTTTCAGAATTAGAATATATGTTGCTGGACGCAAAGCAAGGATTAATTTTTGATGGATTTCGCACATTTATGGAAGGCATATTGTTGGTAGAATGTGGTTTAAGCCGGGCTAGAACCAGAACCTGAAATTGGTAAAGAGAGAGAGAGAGAACTTTAACTAGAGTTGAGTGGAAAAAAAACAAATTGGTGTTTGGAGAATAAATAACAAGTAGATAAATAAAAGGAGCAGCCAATATTTTCTGGTTCAATGTATCCAATCAGGAGTAAAAGAACAAATCAGATATGTCCCACTAATGCTCATTTTAAATTTCCAAACTTTTGCTTTTATAGCCTTATAGTATTTACAGCATTTAGTCTATAAGGCACCACACTATATAATTTATGAGAAAAGAATTATGATCCAATTTACAAAAAAAACCCTGTATTTGAAGACAGTTTTGTTATTATGCAAATTAATGTAAAACATGTCTTTCTTTTTCCTTAAAATCTCATGAAAGTGAAAAATTTTTTTAAATTGGAAATCAGTGTGATAATTATCAATAAACATGTCTTTCTTTTTCCTTAAAATCTCATGAAAGTGAAAAATTTTTTTAAATTGGAAATCAGTGTAATAATTATCAATAAATTGATTTTGACACTGATACTTACTGAAGAGGTCTGTTTTTCTCATTTATTTTTTATTTGCAGTTAATCTCTGTACATCTTTACAGTGTACGACATGTTTTTCCCCAGCATGAATACAGTGCCTATTAGTCAAGTCAAAGACTGTATCATATACATTGTCACCAAGGATAAACTTTTATTTTTGTGAAACACAAACATTTTTGTGTTTCTAAGATGAAAAAGTCTACGAATTTTGACATATTTTTATTATATAGCATAAGTTTAGTATATTCACATCATACCACCATTCATTATACATGTACCTCATTTTTTATTATGAAGCAATGCATCTGGATTTTAAAATAATTAAGCAGTACCAAAATTAGTTAAGAATGCAGTGCCCGATCAGTGGAGAACTATTGCACGTAGCTGACAATGACACTTCTCTAGCCATTTGTTACAGGTTGTGGATAAGATGAACAGCTTGTGATCTAGTATCTTGCAATTACACACACACACACACACACACACACACACACACACACACACTCACACACCAGTATATGTATGTATTTTATATAATACCAATATATTTTGCCAATATATAAAGTGTGTATGTGTGTGTATATATATATGTGTGTGTGTGTGTGTGTACGTGTGTGTGTATGTGTGTGTGTGTGTGTGTTTATTTTCAAGACTTTTGTAATGAAAGAGTCAGAACGTCAGTTTACATTACATACACAATAAAAGCTCAGTTCCTTGGTTCTTCTCAAAACGTGAATAGACATTTCTCCAATAGCATGAATGTGAAGACCACAATTTAAGTGGCATGTGCTGTAGAGAAACTGTTGATACTTTGTCCACATCCCCACAGCATTAACCTCCCATATTCTGAAGGCTGCTTGGTATGAACACCTACAAAACTCTTCTAGATTGATTGTTTTTCTGGCACATAATAGCACACACAGCCCATAGAAGGCAAGTCAAGAATGCCATAGGAAGCCCTGATCAAAGATGTTCAGTAAACTACTCCAGCTTCCTCATCACTCAGTTGGAATAAACCCAAGATGTGTTTTACAGTGTCTCCCATAGATCTCCATGGAATTGAGTGTCAGTTGCTCTCAGTAGAATCTACTTGAAACCTCATCCATTACTGGCTTCATTATATTCTCTGTTTTAATTATCTACTCTACTATCCACGCTTCTTGGGCTTACCTTTGAAATAAATTATTTGTACTCAAATCCTTTACAGATCCTTACAATATACTTTCTAGGAAAATCCAACCTAAGACAAGTACTTTCATAGTCAAGTATTTGTTCATTATAACTTTGAGAAAAATGTGCTCACTTCTTTATGTAGTACATATCTATGCTATGTAGTATCTCAAATAATGACAGTTTAAAAATTAAGACATCAAGGAGAGTTACCAATCTGTCCTTTTCTTTGCCACTATCAGAACTATTTTAAAATTTCATCTACAAAATCCATTTCTGAATGTTGAGTGTTTATCTGGCATGTATTTAGTCAGAATCTACAAATGTAAATTACAACATTTTAGCATGTTTGATAAAAGCTTGACAGAACTGCCTTCTTTTATTTTGTCAGTTATGTGATCTAAAACTCCTAAATGTCAATGTCATATACCATAAAAAATGTAATTAAAAGCCTTTGAAAAGGAGCCTCACCCCTTTCAGGGAATATCAAATAATGAATCATCTAAGTACAGCTGATGAGATAATTGCATGGGGCTTATTAACCTGAGCTACCTCATGGTTTATATGTCATCTGTCACTGTGACTCAGCACATGAGACAAGATGTGCAAGTGACCCTTGACCAAGAATACAGATTCAGTGTTGGGCCTACATGAAACCTTTAATATAGGAAGAGTCTCTTCTCTAAGTACTTAATTCTATAGCAGTGGTTCTGAAACTATCAGTGATGAAAGACCTGTCCATTTTCACTCTGCGACAGCATTCTTTTTTAAATGTATAAAATACATTAAAATAAGTCGCTCTAAAAATCAAATGAAGAGTAAAAACATATACAAAGTGCAAGACTCCATCACATGCAAATCCAAATACACCTTGGACAAGAAGTATTACTTTTTGTTACTTGACATCCAAACCACACACAACATAAGGTGAAGGAATAGAATGAAGGTTACAGAGGCCAGAATGCCTTGTTAGCTTTGCTGGCTAATCAAGGAAATGTCAGCAAATCAGTTTTAGCATTCTACACTCAGGAAATTCTTTCCTGCCCTTGCAAAATGTTGTTAGGATATGACCATTTTTGTGAAAGGTCTGATTCAAGCGTAATGTTAGTGATGCTAACAAAGTAAACATACAGGCTGCATATAGAAGAGAGTCCTTGGCACTCCTTATGACTTCACAGAAGATTTTAAAGACTTAAAAGTAATGGCAAAACTACTATAATCCTATCTACTTGCATATATGGAGTGCTAGCCCATCAATGCCATGTGCAATTATAATTACACATACAATTTGCTCTTACATTTGTCTGATTGTTTCTCAATTACAGTTTTTTAAAGTTATATGTTATCTTAATTGATTATCATATTAAGACAGATGACAGATGATAATTTTCTTCTTTTCATTGTACATAAAAATCTCTAGATTTTTTTAGACTTACGGATGTCCGATGGTTTAACCTTTAGGTGTAGTCTCTTTACACCATTAACTCAGGGAACTTATACTAATATGTTTATAGAAAATGTAAGTTAATTGAAATTCCAGATGAGGATTGTGTACTAGACCAAGCACTCACGGCACATTATCAAGATTTTGTTTGATTAATGAGTGATTTCTCATTAACTTCATGGTACAGTGCATGACTAGGAAACTGAAAAGACCTAAGACTAGAAGGCTTCCCTGAATCAAAATGGTACATGCTCATTAGACTCTGAACCACGTACTTCTAAACATATATTTGAAAAAGAAAAATCTGTCATTTAAGCCACTGTATTTTTTAATCTTTTATAGCAACATTGTCTACACTTTAACCAATACACTATTCATGTGGATTAATTGAAAAATAAGCAGCAAACAAGAATAGAAATGTTACCTTATATATCTGAAGTAATACATCTGTCCATGCCCGTTTACTCCAAGTTTCAAACTCAGTCATTTCTATAACAATAGAACACGTTGCTGTAGGTGCACAGGAACTCACAGGCATGGTTTTAGTGGTAGACTTTAAGAAATAAAATGTTACAAGATTAATTAACTTGCAAGGCAGATACAAGTCCAACAGTTTACTTAAGATATTAAGTTTTTGTCCTTTTAGGTAACATTTGTGCACCCTTGGAAAGCATTTATTTAGAACCCTAAGCCCCCTGTGAGAACAGTAGGAACTATTGATGCAGGTAACTTTCTGAAACACATAGTTCTTACTTTAGATCTTAGATTTATTCACTCAGTGTACCTACTAGCTCATTCTGTGGTAGAACAGGCACCTGACTCCTTCTCAAGTCACGTGGTGAGTTTAGTGACAGTGCCAGAACTACAGCAGAGTTGCCTGAAAACCTTTACATTCCTCAAAAACTATTTCCTACCTCGATAGGTTTCCATAAGATGAACTGTATGTTTTAAGAAATCTAGGTATTTCTTGCTTAATTTCTCTTTATTCTCTCCCCAAACAAAAGAAGGGCAATGGTGAAATTAAACCAGTATTTTCTTAGAATAAAATTTACATAAGCTTATATCACTCTTCATTTGTAAACGGCCCCAGAAATACAATTACTTATATATTTAAGAAAGCCAAATAGTTATTTTACATGAAACTCCACAGATATTTTTATACAGATGGACCACAAAAGAAAAGGAAGAGCTGTCCAGAGAGGCATAAGTCTTAGAATATTTTATACATAAAAATAAATGGCACTAAAATGAAACATTCTACAGACACCAAATACCAGCAAATTCAATAATAACAGTGTAGAATATTCCTGGAAAATATATTATTTTACCTTAATTTCAATCCACCTCTTATAATCTTCTGTTTCAAGCAGAAATTCTGGCAGTACATAAGAAACACATCCTCCTTGAGCACTAAAATTAAAAATGGAAACCCAAATGATGATCGTATAGTTAGTATATTACTCACAGTCTGTATATTATTTATACTTGCCTTTTATTTAATTATTTCAAAAAAGTCATTTCTAAATTTTATTTTAATTTTCAAATTTAAAATTTATATGATTAATTTTTTACAAGTTCCTTTACAATTGAGTGTACAGAGTATTTCTTTAAATTTTATTAATGGGAAAGAACTTAGCAAGTGCCTATATTTATCCTCATTTATACTTACATACTAACAAAATACAGAGAGTTATGTGAGTTGGTCTTTGTGGTCAACACAGTAACCATTTTATTATTGTTATAGCATAATATTTTTAAAAACTCTGGAAGAAATTAGAATGAAATAAGACATTTGAAGAACTTGGAATACTTTCTTGTACCCAAAGCGAAGGAAGGATTTCAGGAGGAAGTGATCATGTCTATCAAATGCTATAGAAAGCATAAGGCAAACTGTGAGGGAACTATTAAAATGAAAGCATCTTGAGGAGAGAGCCCACATGTTATTTATTTGAGTATTCTATAATGTCCAATAGAGAGCAGATTCTTGGTAAAATATGAGCATGAATAATGCATTTTTGGGCTGGCTCCTTAGCATATAAAATGTACTACTCAAGAGAAGCCAGATCTCACATGGTGATCACAGTTTGAATCCAAGGTCCAGTTAGCCTGAACCATGTCAGGCATGTGCACAAGTATCCAAGATTTGACGAACTGGAGGACTGGAAGAAGATGATCATAGAGTGAGCAGACCCTAAAGAGGGTACTCATCTCTCTCTCTCTCTCTGATGTCTGCACATTTCCTTTCTAATACATTTTTTAAAAGAATGCATTTTTGTATTTATAAGACTGACACTACTATCAAAACTTGTTTCACTCATTTTATTTTGAACCTTAGTATCTCAAGGGCTAATTTATCTTTTCATAAGACCATATTTTCATTCATATTTGTCAATAGATTTTATGTTTGGTCAGTATCTTTTTTTGAGAGTTGACCTTCATAATTGATTTGATTACACTTTTACATGTTTGGTTTTCTATTTAATGGTTTTTTCTGAGTTTTCATTGACTAGATTAAAATACAGGTAGATACAATAAATTATTAAACTCTAAACTTAAATCTCCAAAAATTAGTTTTAAAAACAATTCTAACAATCTCTAAAAATGAGTTTCTTAGGTATTATAAAAGTAGATATTTTGGGACCAGCAGGTTATGTCACTGGACTCCCATGTGGTCGACCGCAGTTCAAGCCCCGGACCCGGTGGCGTAAACTCATGCTGGGTGCATGTGCATGCATGCCCAAGATCCCAAGAGGAAAGTGGAGGAGAAGGGATTGTGGCATGGCCATCTCCCCTGGGGGGTGACTTCTCACTTTCTGTCTCTATCTCTCTGCCCTTCTGGCAAGCATGCAAGCCCTATAGTAAAAACTTCTTTAAAAAAATAGATATTTCACTATAGATATTTAGCAAGTACTAAAGTCCTCACCTACTGTGTCATCAAATTTAAGTAGGGAAGCTAATCACATTTATGATTATTTTTAATTTTAAAATATCTATTTCCACAATGAAACATATGCACATATCTTGGATTAATGACCCAATTTTAAAGACCTCATTGGAACTTTCTAAATGTTAAGTAATTTTATCACAGTCAACATATCTTAATAGGTAGGTATTTGCTGATGAATATTAAATAAATCTGAATGACTGGGCTTTAATGCCAAAACCATCCTTCCATACCTGCATCCTCACACAATAAAATGTCAAAAAAGAAATGACCCATGATAATGGCAGCACTACTGGGAACTATGCCAACAAGAGTACACAAGAATAGTACAATGTCGCAAGCACCATAGGCTTTAATGATACTATCACAAAATTATTTGATTTCTGTAACATGTATACAATAAGGAATTACTTAGGAATCCAAACTTCTTTCTTTTGTGCATAGCTAATATTCCAGTAGATTTTAAGAATGCAACTAACTTTCTAAAATAGATTCATTTGAATTTTTGTCTTATTAAACTTGTTTAATTTATTGAATCAGTCATTAAGGGTCAAATGTAGACAGTGGTAAAATGACAAGAAAAGTCATGTGTTTTCTTTTTTTTAATGTTCAAAATATTAGTTATAATGTTGTCTGTTGTTCTATAACAACAGAGATAGTATGGTTTTAAATATTTTTGAGAAAATATCTACATGTCAACTACTCAAACTGTTGAAAAGCAAATGCCCAGCACACAAGCCACACATAAACCTTCTCAGTTTAGGCCTGCCTACCAAATATTCTCTGATATACTATTTACTAGCAAAGATCACTCTCTTTTTCTTCCTTCAAAATATTCCTCAAGATAATCCTCTGGTTGTGGTTGCTCTTTTGCAATCTCTACTGATTACAATGCTGGGCTGGAAAAGTCCAGATTATTTTGTGTTACGAATTCTTTCATATACCTTCTCTAATCCTCTCTGCCAGGAAGAACAGTTTATGGTGCCAGACCATCTTTCCAAGAGCTTCTGTTGGCTTACTTGAGATCTACCTCAGTTCCATAGATTTTTTTTTGAGAAGTTTTTGCTATATGGCGAGTGTGACTGCCAGAAAGACAGAGAGAAACAGAGAGACAGAAAGTGAGAAATCACCCCCCACCAGGGGGAATGGCCACACGGCAATCCCTTCTACTCCACTCTCCTCTCAGGATCTTGGGCATACACGCATGCACACGCACCTAGTGAGAGTTTAAGCCACTGGGTCCAGGACTCAAACCACAGTTGACCACATGGGAGTCCAGCGACACACCCATTATGCAAACTGCTGGTCCCCCTTAGTTCATAGATTTCTGGTTAATCCTCAGATATGACATTCCAGTCAAAGCCCTGTCCAATAATGAGTATTTCCAATTTCTGATTCAATGTAACAGGTATTATTAAACTTATGCAAATAACCCTTCTGCCACAAAATAAGAATACTCCCAAATATTTTCCAATGCCAGAGGAATCAGGAAGGAAGAAAAGTTTATGTTTCTCCTTAAAGAAATGAACAAACAAGAAGAAAAAATATTTTAACAAGTTGCTGAATCTATCAACATCTCAAAAGAAAGCAAAATCCCTTAAATTGGAAAAACAAAGCCTACTTTAAAAATTTCAGTAATGTTATACTTAAAAGTCATAAAATTCTATTTCAGTAGTTCAGTCTTATGTTCAATCCCTCTTCTGCTGAATCTGCAGTGTTACTGTGGTCCGATCTTTCTATTTAAACCCTGGAAGTTAACATTCAATGTTATTATTGATATTTCTTGTCCATAGCATTAAGTTGGTCATTTTCTTTTTTTGTTTTTGCTATAGGGCACGTGTGCTTGCCAGACAGACAGAGAGAGACAGAAAACGAGAAATCATCCCCTAGGGGGGAAGGCCACGCCGCAATCCCTTCTCCTCCTTTCTCCTCTCAGGATCTTGGGCACGCACATACTCACGCCTGGTGTGAGTTTA